ATTCTTTCACGACATAATTTTCTACAAATCTACAGCACAACCAAGTTTGTAACCCGTGGGTTAGTACAAGGACCGGGTTCATGTATTCTCCGTATCTCTTCTTAAGCTTCGTCCAGGGTTCTTTATTTTTGTCTGCTGCCAATGTCGTCTCGCATGCCTGCACCCTCGCATGCACGCTGCCCGCATGCCACGTGCCATGCCATAGCCACAGACCCCTTGCTTGGGCCTCACCCAAGGCCAAACTCCAAACACAACCAGAACTAGCCAAAGAAGCACTTCCTGGGCAGGGCCGCTAGCTCTCCCACCTCCAGTGTGGGCTGGCTCAGCTCTCGCAGGGCCAGAAGGCTACATCTCTACCGGTCAGCCTAGGCTCCTCCCAGGGTCTCGCATTCAAGGGCGATTACATTTTAAAAAGAAAAACAGAAAAATGTTTATCACAAAACCAACCCTCACTTCACAGGGTCTGTAAGCCACTCACCGAACTTTGCTCTTCCCGAGAAAGGGTCCCTTCCCAGCCCAGGCACAACAGGGTCCGGCGGGCTCTGACACCCAGGACCACCACCAGGGGCCTCCCATCAGTTATGGAGCCATAAACTGAATCCAAGAAAGCACCCACTTTTTTACAGGAAGAAGGGACTCATGCATAAAGGGGGGTGGGGGGTTCCTGATTTTGAAAATAATTGATTTGTAGCTTCTCTTCTATCAAAACCAACACATCCTCTTCTTTCTGCCAATCCTCTCCCCGCTCTGGACACCTCTCTGGTTCGGGACCAATCCCTCTCTGGGGACGTGCCCCACCCATGTGCCGGCTGAGCTCAGGAACCCCTGCCTGCCCCCGGGTGGGGCTGCAGCTCTGGCCTCCCAGGCCCATCCTCAACAGCTACCCCAGCCAACAACAAGGCCACAAGGGGAACCCAGCCTTTGAGGCAGGATGCCAGGATGCAGAGAGGAACCTGGCCCCTCACCACTGTGCGGGCTGGGGCAGCAAGGCCCACAGCTGCCGCTTTACTGGGGCAGGGCGTGGTACTGGCACCCAGGTTCGGCATGGCAGAGCTGGCCAACAGCCTGTGGTCCTTGATCTGCCTCCAGTTCCAAGAGGCCTACAGCCCCCAGCACTGCCTCTGCCCACCTGCCTTTAACAGACTCCAGGGCTGCTACTGCCATGCAGCGAAGGTTCAAAGTTTGAGACTCAACTTGAGGGACTGTTTTTGACAATCCCCGCTGACCTTCCCTCCTCGAGGTGCCCTGGCCCTGCACCTAGCCTGGCCCAGGGCCAGCTTTGCCTAGCGAGGCTGGAGGGAGCACCAGGACCTGCTGTCTGCTGTCAGCCCCTCCTGGTGCTGGTGCCCTGATGCTGTGCCTTGTCATCCACTAAGCTGCAAGAGGGACCAAGAGAGGACCACGCAGCCAGCCAGACGCCTGGCCCTGTGCTGGGGCAGACAACGCTGCGGAGCCCAGAGAGCCTGGCCCTAGGACATGTGTCCGTGGTGACACTGGTGTGTCTGAACCCACCTGGCCTGGGAAGCACCATCTGTGCCCCGCCCCAAGCCCCATCCCCTCCAGTACACAGCCAGGAAGGGGCTGCTGAGGGCGAACGTCCTGCGGGGCTCTGCCCAACCTGCTCCTCCAAGGGTCTGGCCTTCACGCTGTGGAGCCACCCCCACCCCACCGCCCACTCCCAGAAGCAGCTGGGACTCTGCTCATACAAGTGAATGGGCCGGCCCTGGACCCCTAAACCCCCTGAGCTGCATGCCGGCTGCCTGCACAGGGAGAGCTGCTGAGGCCCAGGCAGGGCCCCCACACCAGACCCCAGAATAGCTTTCCCACCCAGGCACCTCCCTTCCAGGGGGCAACAGGAGTGGGAGTCAGGGCTGCACGCTCCTCCCCTCCCACCTCACAGGCGGCCTTAGGCAAGTCATTCTCTGTCATCACAAGGTCGCCTCTGCCTAGCCAGGTCCTGGCGTCCAGAGCAGGGACGGGAGGCCCCCAGGCCCCCACACACCTCCCTCTGCGCCAAGGCCGGGACCACCAACCACACGTTTCATCGTGGCTGCTTGTGGGCTTGCGTACAGGCCAGGCCTGTCCATTGATTTTCAAAAGTGAAACTGCTGGATCTCAGATTCTGTGGCATCTAAGGCCTAGCAGGGGTGGGCATGCAGGTCACCCAAAGCCCACACCAAGGCTCTGACCTAGGCCCCAGTCAAGGAAGCCATGAGGCAGGGGGATCCGCTGAGGAAGGAAATGTTCATTTTCATTTGTCCAAAATCACCTTAAGTATATTAATCTTGATGCTTTTTAACTACTGCTTTTTAACTTGCTGAGATTTAGAAATACTGTTATAAAAAGAAAAACTTTTTTAGTTTCTGTATTTTTTTCTGTATTGTATCTTCATGGGACATTAGGGGTTTTCTATGGTAAGCACACCTAAGGTTTTGGTAAAAACATTATCAAATATACATCCAGACAGTTCTTCCCGAGAAGACCCCTGATAAAACATTTTGAAGACAGAGGTGTTCTTTTTCCTTACTGGTGCTGAAAGGAAGGATGGATAATGAGGGGAAAATAAAACTGTGAGGCTCGAGGCTGGTGTTCTCCACTTATTTCATGACTAGCTAGGGCCAGGCCTCAAGGGCACACCTGGGGGCAGGGGATAGACTTCCTGCCTCCAACTGCGGGATGGGCACTACCCACGTCTGCTCTGAATGCAAGGACACTGGGACTCTGCTCAAACAGGCAGCTCACCTGGCCTGGAACAAGCCTCACCTCCTGAGCAGCGAGCCAGAGGGCCTCCCTGGTCCCCAGGTGAAGCAGGGCCAGATGGGGGCTGCTCCAAGCCATACCCCATCTGCAGGAAGGGCTTTCCAATCCGAGGGTGGTACCGGGGACAGGGCTGCCTCCCGGGTCCCCTTCCTGACAGCTGCTTTCCTGGGCCTGCGTCGGGAACTGCTCTGGGACAGCTACCTGGTGTCCAGTCTCAGGTCCTGGCAGGCCACCAGCTGGTACAGCAGTGAGGCCAGACACCTATGGATGTGGCTTGAAGTTACCTGGCAGGTGAAAGGGCCAGAACCCAGGCCTCTCAGCCTGGGTCTTCAAGCCCCAGAGACCCAACCACAACTCAGTGTCTCCACCCACTAGGAGGCCAGAAGTCTCCACACTCCTAGCAGAAGCCAGAAGAGCAGGGACAAGGAGATCCCCGAGTGGGACAGGCAGGACAGGCTCCCACATGGGCACTACTCACCAAGGGTGGCATGGACAACCTCACCCTGCAGCCCCACAAGCCTTCCCTGCTTCTACTTCCTCCCCAGTTAGGGAAAGATGTCTCTGCCTTCAAGCTTTCTCAGCACCTCAGAAGCACAAGCAGGGGGATCTCCCCAGCCCCACCAGGGCTCCAAATTCAGTCACCCGCTCATGCTCCCTGCCACAGCTGGAGCCAGAGGCCAGCAGTGCAAACATGCAACACGGCGAGGCCTCTCCTGTCCCTGAGGCCAAGCAGCTCCCGGAAGGAGAGGAGCATCTTCAGCCTTCCCCTCAGAAAGCCCTGAGCCACTTTATTGCCCAGGAGTGGTCAGTTGGGTGTCTTCGAGCCTGAATTCCATGGCAATGTCGCCGGTGTCAGGATGAAACTCCACCACATAGCTGACCGTCTGTGGGCCGCCCAGTGGCACTCTGGGATCTGGGGCAGGGCTGAAGAAGTAGACGGCCTGCTTGCAGTGGGGGTTCCAGCAGCAGGCCCCCTGTAGAAAGAAGAGCAGGAAGACAGTGAGGGCTCCCTGGCACCTGAGCCTCCTTCCTGGCCAGCCTCCAGCCCAGGCAGCTTGCAGAGAAGAGAAGCTGCGCAGAGGCCAAATGATTCAGGACCACTAAGGGGTCATCAACTAGCCCGAAGAACTTGTGACAGAAACACCCAGAGCACGGGGGCAGGAAGGCCTCCCCAGAGGGTGCCTCTCTCGGGGTCCACACCCACTCTGGGCCCAGCACACGGGCACTACCTCGGGGTCCACAGGCTCCAGGAGACCGGTGCTGAGCATGCACTCCGAGGTCAGGTGGTACTTCATCCACAGCACTGTCGCATGGCTATGCCCAGGCCTGCCAGAAAGGGGGGGCCAGCAGAAACCGTCACACAAGAGACGGGGCACGGCCACAGCTCCTGCGCTTTCCAGAAACCTGTGGTCTTCCCTACTTCCTTCCCACCATGCCGGGAGCTCCTAACACTGCACCCAACTAAACTCCCCTCAGAAAAACCCCAGCCAGAACAGCCACAGCCAAGCCCCGACCTGAGCCGCCCCAAGCCTTGTAGCCAGGCCACACATGCAGCAAGGCCAGCGTGGCTGTAGGGTCTAGGGGGCTTGAGGCACAGCCTGGTACTGAAGGCTGGAAGGCCCCTCTGATACCATGGACAGCACCCTGGAAGTTTGAGCACCGGAGCAGGGCAGGGCAATCTATGCCTGTACCCAAGCAGCACTCACTGACCCCAACCTGCTTCAGCTTCCAGGACAGTTAAGGAAAATGGTACATCGGTGACTACAGGAACCAAACCCCCATCTTCCTGAGCCATGATCCAACAAGGGAGCCTCAGCTGCAGGGGGGCGAGTCGAGCCCTCCCTGGCTCCCCCCACACTGGCACACACAGGACCGTGGGGACTACCACATGCGCAGGGGCGCTCTGAGAGAAAAGGGCAAGGTCATGCATGTCAGCATCTCCCAAGCCAGCTGCTCGCCAAGGGGAGAATTCCGAGGCCAAGCAGCAGCCCCTCCCTGCCCCCCAGTCTTCCCTGCACCCACCTCCGGAGCTCCACAGTGCCCTCAGCATGCAGGGGTTGCAGGGGCACCAGCTGCTGGAAGTCAAAGGCCAGGATCTGCCAGGGTTCGGAGAGGCTGCGGCATGGGTACTCCCACAGCGGGTGGGGCTCGGCCTCCCTGCTCTCCCTGAAGTCCAGGGCACGCTGTGAACGGACATGAGCCTGGAGGCTGCAGACACACACAGCCGGCCAGACAGAGACCCCCTCCCCGGCTTGGCTCCCACTGACTGCGGTCACAAGGGGTGTGTGTTCTCTCATAAAGATGCCGAGCACCCAGCAAACCAGCAGCTCCCCCTCTGCCACTGCTCTCTCAGCAGCTCCGTAGGCACCCCTCACTCTGAGCCTTGCTTTCCAGATTTTTAAGATGGGGTGGTGCCACCTGTCTCAAGCTGTTCTGAGGACCACGCGTGTACATCAGTGGTGAGAACACCCAGCACCTAGAAACTTGGTGACCACCACAGCTGTGTGGCCCTGAGAGGTGGGCCCTAGGCCACTGGGAGGGATAAACACGTGACAGAACAGCCCTGGTGCCGGCTGCTGGCAGCTTGGAAGCACCTGCATCCAGGAGGGACATAGAAAGCTGCCTGGAGGAAGGGAGCTGGTGGGTAAATGGGAGCTGGCAGAAGCAGGGCCAGAGGGGCCTCAAAGACAGAGCTAAGCCAGGAGAGCAGGCCAGGGCACCCAGGCCAGCCAGGCCACTCTGCTGGGGTGTGTGGGGAGCCATCTGGGGCATTCCCGAAGTGGGGATGTGGCCAGACTCAGATCTACAAGTTCACGTGGACTCCGTGTGGAGGACGGCCAGAGTGGGAGGGGCCCAGACCAGGACGGCAGCAGTAAGGGGCAGCCTGGGTCGGAGGCTTGCTGGGAGCATGAAAACCAACGGCAGGGAACAGGAGAATTCGCCAGGGAAGATGCGCCTGGGGTCCTGGGCCTGGCTGGTCGTGTGAAGTGGCACCAGGTCTAAGACAGGGCACTGGAAGGGCCAGGCTGAGGGTGGCAAAGGGCAGGTGAATTTGGAAATCATAAAAGCAAAAATACCTGGCACTCCCCGCCAGGACACCCACTGCTCTCAGCCATCTGTGTGAGCACATGAGAGACGGACACTGGCCCAGGACCAGAGTGAAAGAACCCTATCAGCAAGAGGGGACAGGGACAGCCAGGGCAAGGTCAAGAGCAGAGGCCCAAGGGAGGCATAGAGCACAGAGATCCAGAGCACGCGGGGCTCAGCACAAATGAGATTTCTAGAAGCGTGCAACAGTCAGAGGTCTGCTGTGAGTGGCAGGTAAGATGCAAACTGAAAACACCCACTAGGTTTAATTTACTTAAAAAAATGTTCGGGGCCGGGCATGGTAGCTCACCCCTGTAATCCCAGCACTCTGGGAGGCCGAGGCGGGTGGATCGCAAGGTCAGGAGTTCAAGACCAGCCTGGCCAAGATGGTGAAACCCCATCTCTACTAAAAATACAAAAATTAGCTGCACATGGTGGCATATACCTGTAATCCCAGCTACTCGGCAGGCTGAGGCAGAGAATTGCTTGAACCCGGGAGGTGGAGGCTGCAGTGAGCCGAGATCGTGCCATTTGTACTCCAGCCTGGGAGACAGAGGGAGACTCTGGCTCAAAAAAAAAAAAAAATGTTCACATAGGCAATCCATGTTCACTACAGGCAAATGTGAACAGAAAGGCGAGCAGAGGCAGAAAAGCCCCATCTCCCGATGCGCAGCTATTGCTGCAGGGCTGCTGTTGCTCCCCGCTCCTCCAGCGTCCGTGAGATTCCTCTTTCTTTTTTTGAGACAGCATCTCACTCTGTCACCCAGCCTGGAGGCAGTGGCCCAATTGCAGCTCACTGCAGCCTCCACCTCCCAGGCTAAAGCCATCCTCCCACCTCATCTTCCTGAGTAGCTAGGAATACAGGTGTGCACTACCACCATGCCTGGCTAATTTTTTGTATTTTTTGTCTTGCTATATTGCCCAGGCTGGTCTCAAACTTCCGGGCTCAAGCAACCTACCTGCCTCAGCCTCCCAGAGTGTTGGGATGACAAGCAGGAGCCACATGAATTTCCTTAATACACAGCACGGCCCATCCTCACCCTGTCCCTCTCAGGTGGTGGAACAGGACTCTCAGCTTCAGCCCTCATGAATCCAAGGACCACTGGCACTGTCAGGACAGTCCATGGTTCTGGGGAATGCAGGACCGGTTGCTACTGTTCAGGGCTCTGCCAATCCCTACCATGTAACCTGTGGTACACTCCTCACATACTCCTCCCTGGGAATGGAGCCCCCACCGTGAAAATGACTGCCTAAGAAGGTTCCCAGACTGCCTCTGGAAGGGCTGCCCCAAGAGAAAACAAGCTGGGGTCACTGGCAGGGGCAGTTCCAATGACAGGACGTGCAGGCCCAGTGGAGATTCTGACTCAGGGTGATAGCACAGAGCCAAGAACAGGCCTGGTACCAAGCAATGCTCATGGGGAACCACACAAAATGGCAGCACCTGACCTCACTGCCCCCACCAGAAGAGCCTGTACTGCTCAAGCCAGGTCGGCGCCACAGGAGCAAAGGACGGCACCACAGGAGCGGGTGGGTGGGACTACACAGTGTGGCCCTGCCTACCTTAATCATGTCGTCCATGATGTGCACGTCGAAGCCTTCGCAGTCACCACAGGGGCTCCGGATCCGCCACAGGTCCTGTGAGGAAGGAGCAGCCCTGTCAGGACACAGGAAAGTGTGGCAGCAAAAACGAGACACAGCTTGCTGTTTCCTGCACACCTGAGAGAGACCCCCAAGTATGAAGGGGCTTGGAGAGACCAAAGATCCAGGATGGTTTCTGTAACAGACTCAGTCGGGCAGGAACCTGCAAGCTCTGGCGTGACACTTGAGTCCTCTCTGATGAGACAGCCAGAGCTACCAGACTGGGGGCTACACACTCCTGCCCAGGCCATCCTGAACACCATCTCTCTGGGAAGGAATATGTAAGCCAGCTCTCCCCCCAGGATCATCACCATTTCACAACGATGCTGGGGAGAGAAAAAGGCCTTGCCAAGAGGAACCCAGAGGACACTCAGCCACGCAGGCTTCCCTCCCTTCCTCCTGGCATAACATGCATGAATCATAACATCCCTTCTTTGGCTGTGGAAATCTGGTACACAAGTTATACAGGAGCAATGTCCAGAAATTAAGTGATGGAGCCACTAAGCTACTGAGAGAGAAACCACTCTCATCAATGAGATTCACTCTCCATTCCAGGTTAAAGCTTTTCAAAATTCTTTTAATAAAAATGCCCTTCCCGGGCTGGGCGCGGTGGCTCATGCCTATAATCCCAAACCTTGGGAGGCTAAGACGGGTTGATTGCCTGAGCTCAGGAGTTCGATACCAGCCTGGCCAGCATGGTGAAACCCCGTCTCTACTAAAATAGAAAAAATTAGCCAGGCATGGCGGCATGCACCTGTAGTCCCAGCTACTCAGGAGGCTGAGGCAGGAGAACTGCTAGAACCCGAGAGATGGAGGATGGGGTAAGCTGAGCTTGCGCTACTTCACTCCAGCCCGGGCAACAGAGTGAGACACTGTCTCCACATTAAAAAAAAAGTCCTTCCAAAAATGACTTTGTGGTTCTTCTTTGATGAGAAAACTAAAAGGAAGCTTTTCCATTTTTTCTTGCATAAAGCAGCTGACTCCTCCATCTCAAAATGCTTTCAACTGAAGCCTTGGCTCTTAATGAGAGCAGAGCAGACCGCACCGCATGGCTTCCAAAATGCTTTATTTATAATGTTTAATTATTCTGATAAGCCACAATAGTAAAGTGACAATTCTCAGCCATTTCCATTTCATATGTCAAATTATTGCATTTTGAAAAAGGCAAGCATCTTCTATTCAACCCCACAGTGTGCTGACACAGAAGAGAAAAAACAAGCTCAAATCATCAAGGCCCAAGTTGCTCTACAGGCACCCAAGGTTCCTACAAGAAAACAAGGTTCCCCACCAGCTTCCTCTGCTTTTGTTTTCTGCAACACCCCCTGGGTGACCTACCCTGAACTCCACAACCACAGCGTGCAGCGAGGCCGCCTGGGGCATCACAACAGCGCCTGGCCCCAGGTGCTGGTCCACAGCGGTCCGAACATACCAGAAGTAGAGGTTGTGCCATGGCAGCAGGCTGGTGGTGAAGAACGGCTCACCCAAGAGGAGAGAGATCTGGTAAGCAGGGCGAGAAGCAGGGCCCAGGTATCAGGAGGGCTCAGCCCAGGAGTGTTCACAGGAACACAGAAGCAACAGGCCACTCAGTCACTCAAGTCACTCCCTCCCTTCTCTCCCTCCCTCCCTCAGCCACTCACTCCCTCACTCCTTCCCTCAGCCCCTCACTCAGTCACTCATTCAGTCACTCATTCAGTCACCCACTCATTCAGTCACTCACTCAGCCACTGATTCACCCACCCACTCACTCATTCACTCACTCACTCCCTCCTTCCCTCAGCCCCTCACTCACTCAGTCACTCATTCAGTCACCCACTCATTCAGTCACTCATTGACTCACTCACTCACTCACTCACTCACTCACTCACTCACTCACTCAGTCACTCCCTCCCTCCCTCAGTCAATAAGCAGGGTACTTGCCCTGGAGGCTGTAAAGATTACAACCAGGTATGAGTCTGGTGCTCAGGAGGGCAGAGTGGAACAGGGAAGCAGACAAAGTGGAGCTGACCCCATGTGAAAGAAAGCAGCAAGGAGGTGGGGCATAGAGGGACCCCAGAAATAAAGTGCCAGAGGGGCTTCCAGAGTGGCATCCTGTCAACCCCCACTCAATGCTTTATCTCAGGACTTACTGGGGCTTGTCTCTGGCTCTGAGCACCACAAGAGCATGGACTGGTAGCCCAACATCCCAAGCAATGGGCCAGTGCCACGCACAGATGTTCCGTGAACATTTGTCAGAATGAACAAATGCATGATGAAGAGCCTGAATGGCCGAGGCGAGGAGCAGCAGGGGCAAGAGCAAGACTGGGAGACAGCAAGGCTCCCCAAGGCAAGGGTGTAGAGCTGGATAGGAGCAGCCAGGTCAGGGTAAGGGGCTGGACTCGTTCCGGAGGTTGTAGCAGGGGCTGGGGTGTCACTACAAGCTTTCATCAGGGGTTCAAAATCAGAAGGAATGTGATTTAGAAGATCCTGCTTAGGACTATGAAGAGTGGATAGGAACCTACAGGTGCTGGGAATGGCAGCAACCTAGCAGAGTGCAGAAACAGTCCTGGCAAGAAACAGAGACTGCAGGATGGGAGGAGAGGAGGGGGTGGCAAAGGCTGTGGAGGCAGTTGACCCCGGGCAGGCCCAAGCAGACGGGCACCAAAGGGGGGCCAGTCAGAGATGATGGAGATGCAGCAGGAAATGCTGGGAGATAGAAAAGGAGGGAGGAGTGCTTCCACTCCCAGCATCAGGAATAAGACAGAAGAGGAGGCCAGGAGTACCTTTGCTCCCAGGATCAGGAACAAGACAGACAAGAATGCCTGCTCCCACCACTCCTATTCAACGCGACCCCAGTCTACTGGTGCCCCACACAATGGCTTTCAAAATCATCTCCTGTGTCCTCATCTATGAGGGAGAAAGGGCAACTTGAGCATTTACAGCAGCATTACTCACAACAGCCCAAAAGTAGGAGCCACCCAAATGTCCATCATCTGATAAACAGATAAATAACATGGCCTGGCCACACAATGGAATCTTATTCAGTAAGAAAGAGAAATAAGGTATTGATTTAGGCTACGACATGGAAGAGCCTTGAAAACGTGAAGCCACATGAAAGAGGCTGGCCATGAAAAACCACACACCGTCTAATTTCATTCACACAAGATGCCCAGAATGGACAAGCCTGGAGACAGAAAGGAGAGCGGGTGTCCAGGGCAGGGGGACTGCGGACAAACGGGGAGTAACTGCTGACGGGTAATGAGAGGATTCTTAAACTGATGTGGTGACAGCTACAGAATCTTATGAATATACAAAAATCGCTGAGCAAATCATATGGTGAATTATATCTCAATAAAACTGTTATTTTTAAACTGGGCAAAAGGCTTAAATAGACATTTCACCAAGCAAGACATAAGCACACAAAAAGATGTTCACCAGCATCAGTCAATAGGCAAATACCAATTAAAACTGTGCTAAGACATCACCATACTCCCACTAAATGGTTATGGTAAAAAAAGCTGAAGCCAAGTGCTAGTGAGAATCCCAGAACCTAGACCCTCAGAAGTTACCGACAGAGACACAATATGCACAGCCTCTTCGAACAACAGTTCAGCAGTTTCTTAAAAAGTTGACCATAACTACATGACCCAGCAATCCACACCAAGACATCTGGTAATAGAACTGAGGACATATATCCTAAGACTGACGCACACATGTTCACAGCAACCTCATTCAAAACGGCCAAAAAACTGGACCCAATCCAAATGTCCCTAGGCCGGGTAATGGAATGCTGTGCAGCACTGAAGAGAATGAAATGGGTTAATCTCAAAGACGCTACGCTCAGTGAAAGGAGCCGGACTCCCAAGCTCACACACTGTATTACCTCACTTTTGAGAAACGCCAGGAGGAAGCACATGCTAGAGACAGAAACGAGACCAGTGGCTGTCAGGCTTGGGTGCGCTGACTATTAACAGTCTCCTGGGAATTTGGGAGGTAAATGTTCTCTTTTCATTTCTTTTCAATTTTTTTTTTTTTTTTAGAGACAAGCTCTCAATGTCAGCCATGCTGTAGTGCTCTGGCACAAGCACAGCTCACTGCAGCCTCTAACTCCTGGGCTCAGGCGATCCTCCCACCTCACCCACATCAGCCTCCTGGGACTACAAGCATGTGCTACCATACTCGGTTAATTGTTTTATTTTTTAGGCCGGGCTCGGTAGCTCACGCCTATAATCCCAGCACCTTGGGAGGCCGAGGCGGGTGGATCACGAGGTCAAGAGATCGAGATCATCCTGGTCAACAAGGTGAAACCCCGTCTCTACTAAAAATACAAAAATTAGCTGGGCATGGTGGCTCGCGTCTGCAGTCCCAGCTACTCGGGAGGCTGAGGCAGGAGAATTGCTTGAACCCAGGAGGCGGAGGTTGCAGTGAGCTGAGATCGCGCCATTGCACTACAGCCTGGGTAACAAGAGCGAAACTCCGTCTCTAAAAAAAAAAAAAAAAGTTTTATTTTTATGGAGACAGGGTCTCCCTATGTTGCCAAGATTGGTCTTGAACTCCTGAGACCAAACGATCCGCCCACCTTGGCTTTCAAAAGTTCTGGGACTATAGGCATGTGCCACCATGCCTGGCCTGGAAATGTTCTAAAATTAGACTGGTGATGGTTAACTCCATACAGTTACTTTAAAAAAATCACTGAACTGCACATTTGAAATGCATTAATTTCATGGTATGTCAATTATATCTCAGTAAAGCTGTTATTTTTAAAAAGACTGGCAGGAAAGATAAACAATGACAGCTCCACTTTGGGTGAGTCCAGTCTGAAGGGCCTGTGTCAAGGAAAGGTGATGGGCTGGTGGTAGCTGGACGTGAGATTTGAATCCAAAATAGCAAACAGTGAAAGCCGACTCTGAGGGTCACTGATTAACTCATGGGAAGGAACCTGATTACCAGAGAGGATGCAGTCAGGGGAAGGGAGAGACATGGGGAGAGGGACACAGAGCAGTGCAAGGAAAGAATCAAGACTGACAAGGAGCAGCCAGGAAAGGGAGGGGAAAGCAGCCTCCCCAGCACAGGCAGAAGTCCCGGGTCACAAAGACAAGCGGTTGGAACAGATGAAGCCTGCAGGGAGACCATGGGAGTAACAAGGTTGCTGGCAGAAGTAGTTTCAGGGCCTGGAAGCCTAACTGCAGCAGGAAGCTGTGGACGGGAAGTGAAGACAGGAGTGCGGTGAAGAGGAAAGGACACGCTCTGCTCCTAGGAACCCCAAGAGAGCTGCTCTGTCCTGACGTGAAGGAGCAGAGACGAGGCTGAGCTAAGAGCAGTGCAGCCGGGTGCAGTGGCTCATGCCTGTAATCCCAGCACTTTGGGAGGCGGAGGCTGACAGATCGCTTGAGCTCAGGAGTTCAAGACCAAAAAATACAAAAATAACTGGGCGTAATGGCACATGCCTATAGTCCCAACTACTCAGGAGAGGTGGGAAGATTGCTTGAGGCTGGAAGTTGGAGGCTGCAGTTAGCTGAGATCATGCCACTGCACTCTAGCATAGGCGACAATGTGAAACACTGTTTTAAAAAAAAAAGAACAGTGCAACCATCTGCTCAATGGGCAGCTCCATGAAAGCCTCACCACACTCTTGATGGCGGGAACTCCTAGGAGATAAGTTACATGGAAACCCACAGTGAGATCCCAGGGACAGGGTGTGGCCTGGGCTACTGCAGCATGTGCTGCCCACCCTAACACAGCCCAGCACGGCCAGGAAGCTGCCGCTACTCACCTTTCTACCCTGCAGGTCCTCATTTGTTAATAATTCCGGCCGTTTCTCTATGATGTTAATTTTATCTTCCAAGTGGTTAACCTTGAAGATCTCAGAAAGAAAACCATAAAATTACTGTATTCATGCTGAAGTGTTGTTTTTGTCAGAAAAAAAAATCTCTCAAAGTTGCACCCTCTGCTTTGAATTTTCTGGCCAAATTGTTCTGGAGCACCACTTTTAACTGCTTTGTGGAAATTCTCTCCTTGAGAGGCATCGTATAGACTATGGATGAGATCAGGAGCAGAATGGGACAGAAGCAAAAGAAATTTCTCCTGTGGGCACACACCAGGACTCAGTGCAGGCCTACAATTCTGGTGAAAGGGGTTCCCCTTTGGATAGGAAATCAAACCAGTTACTGGCCAGGGAGAGAAATCCCATCTCCCCCCAGGCTGTGAGCACTGACTCCCTGAGCACTGATGGCCTAGAAACACATTCTACATTCAGTTCTACCATGACAGAAATGTTTTCGTAGCTTTATGTGAAGTGAGGAGAAAAGTGTAAGCTTCTTCAGACACAAAAAAAACAAAGCAAGGCTGCTGGGTGCAGTGGCTCATGCCTGTAATCCCAGCACTTTGGGAGGCCAAGGTAAATGGATCAACTGAAGTCAGGAGTTTCAGAGCAGCCTGGCCAACATGGTGAAATCCCATCTCTACTAAAAATATAAAAATTAGCCAGGTGTGGTGGCACATTCCTATAATCCCGGCTACTCAGGAGGCTAAGACAGGAGAATCCTTGAACCTGGGAGGAGGAGGTCGCAGTGAGAGGAGATGGAGCCACTGCACTCCAGTCGGCAACAGAGAGACAGTGCAAACATTTGCCTCTATTTCAGTGACAGCCACCCCACCAGGCTTCCAGCTGCTCTCCAGGCAGCAGCCAAGACAACACAGAGGCAGGGGCTTTCACACCATCCTGCCACTACTCCTCCATTCCAGGGAGATGCCACTTCAAAGCCATCAACCCAGATTCAGAAGGTCAGCCCCACAGGTCCTCTTGCTATTTCAGCAACAATTCTCACTTACTTTTCTCATCAGCTTGTGAGAAGCTGCTGAGCTCTCAATTGTAAATACCTAAAGGGAACACCATGCTATTAGTTGTAAGATATTCACTTAACAAAGAAAAATTAAAAAGATTAAAATCTGATAAAACCATCCCAAGACAGAAGCAGCACCTGAACAACCCTCCCGGCACTCATCCCCCTGGGCTCATTCCCCCTCCTTCGCTCATCCCCCGCCTGCGCTCATGCTCATTCCCCGGCCTGCGCTCATTCCCCACCTGCACTCATCCCCCCACACCCCGTGCTCATCCTCCCCCCACTCATCCCCTGCCTTGCTCATCCCCCCCACCGCTCATTTGCCCCCTGCGCTCATCCCCCTTCTGTGCTCATTCCCCCCCTGCGCTCATCCCCCACCCTCATTGCTCATTCCCTCCCTGGGGCAGCCTGAGCCCTGGCTCCACTCCTGCACACGCAGGTAATAAAGCCCCCAGTCCCTGACCTGAGCATGCTATGCCCATAACAGTGGCCCTTACAAAAAGCCCTGATCACAGAATTGTGAACCCAGACCACACAATGCCCTAACTCATGAGCCCACCTCAGGAGGCTGACAAGGGTGCACGTTCAGTACCTGCTCCGCCCCGAGGTGATGGGCCAGCATGGACATCAGGCTGCCATCACTGACACACAGGCACACGCTGTCTGGCTTCAGCACCTGTGGGGAATGGGTAACTTCAGCACAGGGCTTCCCCCAGTTTGCCAGAAGATTCCTGCTAGCAAGCATGCTTCCCTTCTCATCCTACTTGGACCATCCCCCTGCGTCCCCGTGCAGTAACCACCCCCAGCCTCAAACACACCTGTCTTGCTCATGTCTCCCGACCTGTCCCCACTGTCAGAAAAGGCAGTCCTCAACCCAGCCCAGAGGCCCTGCAGAAGGCCTGTCCCACCCGCAGGGGGCCACCTCCCAGTCCCTGACAAGAGTCTTCTTCCCTGCCTGGAGACAGCACAGACAGCTGAGAGCCTACAAGGCTGTGTTCACAAGAGATGCCTTTCTGGGTGACAGACCCCTCTGAGAGAAACTCAGGATGGCTTGGATTCTCCCCCAGCCCCCTCAAAAATGCACACATGCACACTTATTTCTGCACAAGGGCCTCAAGAGACCCTCCCTCCAAGCCCCACCTGTAATCTCCAGGCTGAGTCCCCTGCTATAGGTAGCAGGGAACACGGGTTTTCAGGCAGGAGAGTGACATGACCAGATTTACATTTTAGAAAATTTTAGAAAGGCAGCAACACATAGAAGAGGGGAAGGGTGGGCGAATCCACTGTGACCACCCACAGCAGTGACTGTGTCTAACAGGGCAAATGCGTCCAGCAGGAGCCCAGCCAGAGGCTGTCCCTGGAGAGGAGAGAGTAAACCCTCAGGAAGTCCAGCCCCAGGCTCTCCAGCTTTCTGCTCCAGTGCCCACCCCAGAAGGCACTCGCTGAAGCCACTCATAGCCAAGAGGACACAGAAAATAAAATTAGAAAATCGTAAGCAGAGTGCTGGAGCTCCTGGGACAAACTCCTTTTTTCCTTTTCCCCACAAACAGCCAAGGGGCTGGACACTTACAGTCCTCAGGGCCTGGACATATCGATCAGTTCTGTCCTGATCATTGATCTCTCCAAACCGTGGCCGGTTCCAGAGCAGGTGAGCCTGGCAGTCGCACACGGGGCGCATCTCGAGGACCCTCTCGTTTTCAGGGCTAGGTCAGGAGATGAACAAACAGACGTGGGCAGTGAGCACCTTCACAGGCCTCTAGAGGGCATGAATCTGGACACTGGTCTCCAGTAGGCATCAGAGGTTAGAGCACCCACTAATTCCAGGCTTTTCATATGCATCTGCTCTAAACAGATTCCAACAACCTCTCCTGAGTACACACGAATGGACAGTGACACATCTGGTCACAAATCTTTGTTCTTATTTTATTCTGTCCAGACACAAATCAACCCACTGGCGTGTCCAAAGGGTCTGTAAATGGGGAATTTACATACATGCAGTCTCAGAGGCTCATCCTCCACCCCCATGAGGCTCAGCATACCTGGTTCTCTGCAGGCTGTACCATATGCAGTAGTCATCATGGTGGGCTACCAGGCAGAGCGCTGAGCCCTGCACCACAGGCTCCTCTTGTGGCAGGAAGTATACACACTGCATCCAGTGGTCCCGCCACTGAAACGGGGAACAGAGTCAGCTGTCAACAAGCTGCTGTATGAGCAATGCTTCAAATCCAGGAGCCAAATGCCAGAACTACCAGTTTTCAGGAAGTCCAAAATGTAGACTGCAGCTGGCTATTGTGGCCAAGGAGATAAAGAAACAAACTCTAAAATCAGAGGCCAGTGGCCCAAAAGGCTGTGGGAACCTTGCTGGCTTTAGGAAGACATAATGTGGCCAAGGGCAGCAATCTGCCACAGTGGCTCAGGGGAGCGGACAAGTGCAGGCTCCAGTCCCCACCCCATCAGAATAGCACCAGAGCTCTCTCTTCAACACATAGGGCTGTGCTGAGTGTTTCATTTGAAGGCAAAATACAATGGTTTAAACCTAGTGGTTTGGAGGGAACCTTTTCAGAATAGTCCCATGGCACGCATTCCAAAGGCTTTAACATACTTGGAATTTACAAAACAGTCAAATGCAATTCACTAAACCTAACTGGATCATAGATTGAGGTAACAAAAGCTATCAAGGACTTCTGGAGACAAGAAATTTTATTTTGAACCATGTCAGATGATAGTATGGAACCTCTGTTTTTCAGGTGTGATCACGTGTTTCGTTTATGTTGCAGACTGTTTTCATTCTTGGGAGGTAAGTGTTGAGGTATTTAAAAGTAAAGTGTCAGGCCAGGCACGGTGCTCACACCTGCAATCCAGCACACTGGGAGGCTGAGGCAGGCAGATCACCTGAGGTTGGGAGTTCAAGACCAGCCTGACCAACATGGAGAAACCCCGTCTCTACTAAAAATACAAAAAATTAGCCAGGCATGGTGGCACATGCCTGTAATCCCAGCTACTTGGGAGGTTGAGACAAGAGAATCGCTTGAACCTGGGAGGTAGAGGTTGCGGTGAGCCGAGATCACACCATTGCACTCCAGCCTAGGCAACAAGAGCAAAATTTCGTCTCAAAAAAAAAAAAAAAAAAAGAAAGTGTCAGATGGCTGCAAGTTACTTTAAATGATTTAGCAAAAAATCGCACACAAGCTAGTGTGTTTGTAGAGACAGACATGCAGGGACGCAGGGAGAAAGGCAGGAAGACAAAGACAACAGGTGTGACAAATGTCAACAACTGGTCAGTTTAAATAAAGGAACCATCAGTGTTCATTTTCACTTATTCTACGGATTGATAGTTTTTCAAAATAAAAAGTTGGGAAAATACAAAAAGGTTTTAACTTACTCTGTGAATTAAACTGAAGTATTTAAATAACTAAATGTTCTCAATTGTGAAACATGGTTGACAATGATCCAGAGTCAACTTTTAATAAGCTGTGCTAGTCCTTACTACAAACCCCACATACAGGATTCTATCCTAAGAAAACCCAAACAAAAAACCAAAGAAAAGAGTTATATTCACATAAAAATGCAAATCACAGAATTATTTATATCAGCAAAAACTGGAACCCACCCAACTGGCCAGCGCTCAGAACAGGATATAAACCCTCGTGCAGAATAGAGGCAGACATCTGAAACACTGCTGATGAAGGCTACGGGGACCCAAACAGAGATGAGCACTGAAGACACCCGTGCGTTTGGAAAAAGACCAAAGAAACGGAGTTATTTTGGGTGGGAGGGAGGACCATGAGTGATTTTTTTGTTTTATATAATGAGGTTTATTTCTCTCATGATTGTTAAGCTTATTTTTGAAAAAGGAAGAAATGTCCTAAAAAGTAGATGCCAGCTGGATGCAATGGCTCACGCCTGTAATCCCAACCATTTGGGAGGCCAAGGCTGGTGAATCGCTTGAGGCCAGGATTACGAGACCAGCCTGGGTAACACAGCAGCGACCCCCATCTGAACAAAAAACAGAAAATTAGCCAAGCATGGTGGCACATGCCTGTAGTCCCAGCTACCCAGGAGGCTGAGGCAGGAGGGTCTCTGTACCCAGTTCACAGCTGCAGTGAGCTTAGAGGTGCCACCGCACTCCAGACTGAGCAACAGAGCAAGAACCTGATTCTAACAAACAAAAACAGGAGATGCCTGGCTCAACTCTGATGAGACGACTGCCTGCTCATTCTGTCACCTTCAGGAACTAAGAAAAACTTGGCCCTGTGGGACTCCAAGAGCACAGGTAAAGAATGTGCCCGCACACCTGGTCTTGAATTTAACAAAAGGCAAGAGAATGATACTCCCACACACTTAAGATGCCTACTTGAAGTAAAAACTAGAAAATAAAATCTGACCAGATATGTTCCAGAAAAAATAAACAGTAACAGGAATGATAAAACAGGTTCTTTTAAATCTGTTATTCATTCCCACACTGTGCAAATGTATCTGGAGTAGATCAGAGAAGCTGGAGAACCCTTTCCCGACCCCTCCTAGGCTCCCATGGCACTGCCCTATCATCATGTCCTTCACATGCTCCCACCACAGGACCTCCTGGGTCCTAATGATGAAGAGCTAGTGACAGAACCCACTGTGCCACGATGGGGCAGGCAAAGTATATTTAGAATCAAAGCAGTTTCACAAATTAATGAGGGAGATTCATTAGCAGATTTCAAATTTCTAATCCAAAAATCAGCACTGGTACAGAAAGGACACAGGACCCAGTCCACTGCTCCTGGACACAGGCCCTGCTCCAGTCCCTGGAGCCTGCTGAATCCCGGGTTGGTTATGGTTGTGGTTACCCAGTTTGTCTACTAAGAGGATTCAAGAAGAAAAATATACATAGTAATGCTCTGAAGATATGCAAATTAAAAGTACTTTATTTTTGAGATGGAGTTTCACTCTTGTTGCCTGGGCTGGAGTACAATGGCACTGTCTTGGCTCACTGCAATCTTCCCCTCCTGGGTACAAGTGATTCTCCTGCCTCAGACTCCCAAGTAGCTGGGATTACAGGCATCTGCCTGCATGCCTGGCTAATTTTTTGTATTTTTAGTAGAGACAAGGTTTCACTATGTTGGCTAGGCTGGTCTCGAACTCCTGACCTCCAGTGATCCACCTGCCTTGGCCTCCCAAAGTGCTGTGATTACAGGAGTGAGCCACCACACCACAAGTACTAACATTATAATGCTATTCTTATGCCAATTCTGCAACACAGTCTTAGGAAGAATGCAGCCCAGTGCCAATCTCAACTCTGTGGGTGAATTCAGAGTGACACACACGCAGCCTCCAGAGGGAAGATGGCACACCCTGGCTGGACACACACACCCTCCTGGGGCCAGGCACCTGGAAGGTGGAGGGGAGACTAAGAAGCTCAGGTGCTTCTTAGTTTCACATGCTGCTGTCGTTAACGCTGATTGAGAATCCCCCAGCGGTCACAACCCTTCAGATTAAACAGTTACTCTGGGAATGGGGTAGGGAAAGCTGCTAAGGCCTTCCAGGAAGTCAATGTTGTGGACACCTAGAAGCAGGTGAGCATCAACAAAGCCAGCAGTTAAGGACAGGCAGGCTGGAGGACTGAACAAAGGATGATGCCTAATGTGCTCCTGGGTAGAGACAGGTTCTATTTCTTGGCTCTGAAACCAAAACTGCCTTTTCGAAAAACAGTGAGAGAATTATGACAGTGAAAGATATCTCATCTAATCAACCCCCATCTTACTTTAACGTTCAAACTGCCCTTGATCATTCCTGGGTCTGGGCCATGCTAACTTTGGGAGATATTTGGTTAATAATTTATTTTATTTTATTTTTTGAGACGGAGTCTCGCTCTGCCACCCAGATTTGAGTACAGTGGCATGATCTCGGCTCACTGCAACCGCCACCTCCTGGGTTCAAGCAATTCTCCTGCCTCAGCTTCCAAGTAGCTGGGATTACAGGCATGCATCACCACACCTGGCTAATTTTTGTATTTTTTAGTAGTAGCAGGGTTTCTCCATGTTGGCCAGACGGGTCTTGAACTCCTGATCTCAAATGATCCACCCACCCAGGCCTCCCAAAGTGCTGGGATTATAAGCGTGAGCCACCGTGCCCAGCCAGTTAATAGTTTAAGTGAAAACTGCCCTTCCCCAAAATTAAACTTAATGAAAGATCATCAGGTTAGGAGGATGAGAGGAGGCTAAATTCTGCTAAGGTGAAGCCATTATTCTGGAGGTCACAAGATCTGCAGCCTTCCCTGATTCTACCTGCAGATAACACCACTCTTACAGAACCTAAGACTGACCCTTTGAAATGTCTTTTTGGATTGTTACATTTCTACATTTCTGTCTGATGACTCTACCCAGAAGTGGACTCCTTGGCCTGCCAAACTATACTTGAAAAACCCTAACCTGGACCAGGCATGGTGGCTGACCTCTGTAATCCCAGCACTCTGGGAGGCCAAGGCATGAGTGTAACCTGAGGTCAGGAGTTCAAGATCAGCCTGACCAACATGGAGAAACCCCGTCTCTACTAAAACTATAAAAATTAACCGGGTGTGGTCGCACATGTCCGTAATCCCAGCTACTCAGGAGGCTGAGGCAGGAGAATCGCTTGAATCCGGGAGGTGGAAGTTGTGGTGAGCTGAGATCATCCCATTGCACTCCAGCCTGGGCAACAAGAGCTAAACTCCATCTCAAAAAAACAAAACAAACAAAAACCCTAGCCTGTGAACTTTCAGAGACTGATCTGAGTAATAACTGTCTTTCTTGCAATGCCAGGGTCTCAGCGAATTGGTTTTGTCAGGACAGTGGGCAATTTACCCATGAGGCAATTACAAAACACCTTTCCCACTTTTTTTTCCTTTGAGTGTGAGAGTAAGGGAGAGTGGATGGGAGTGTAAATAACACAAGCATATGAGAGAAAATTCAAAAGATATATAAGAAAGTGTAGTGAGAAATGTTTCCTTTCCACCCCTAACCCCTAGCCCCCATTCCTGGATGCAGTCAGTTTTACCAATTTCTGGGAATTCTTCCAAAGACATGCTTACATGCATACCACACAAGACTATCCACTCACAAACACGTATATTCTTTTTTTTTTTTTTTTTGAGATGGAGTCTCACTCTGTCACCAGGCTGGAGGGTAGTGGTGCAATATTGGCTCACTGCAACCTCTGACTCCTGGGTTCAAGTCATTCTCCTGCCTCAGCCTCCCGAGTAGCTGGGACTACCTACAGGCATGTGCCACCACACCCAGCTAATTTTGGTGTTTTTAGTAGAAGCGGGATTTCACCATGTTGGCCAGGATGGTCTCGATCTCTTGACCTCGTGATCCGCCCTCCTTGTCTTCCCAAGGTGCTGGGATTACAGGCGTGAGCCACCATGCCCAGCTATTCCTATTTTTACTAATACCAATGCTGGCACACTATACAACATTCTGCACCTTTATTTTTGTTTCAGGTAATAATCCACCCTGAAGCTTGTCCCATATCAGTGCAAACAGCTACCTCACCCACTGAAAGGATAACGGACTTGATCCCTACTAGTGGCCTTTAGGTTGGCCTTTTTCTACTAAATCAGGGCTGCACACATTCATTCTACAGACTCAAATCCAGCATCAGCCCCACATCTGGCAGCAGCATTGCTTTCTACCTGAGACGTTCTGACAACTCACTTTCCTGCTCTTTCCCTGAGCTTTACCAACAGTGTACTTGCAAACTGTTTAAACTTTATTCACTAATAGGTGAAAATGATTATCTCCTTGCAGTTTAAAGTTGCATTTGTCTCTCTTTTTTCTCTTTAGAGACAGGGTCTAACCCTATTGCCCAGGCTGAAGTGCAGTGGTGCAATCATGACTCACCTGCAGCCTCGACCTCCTGGGTTCAAGCAATGTTCCTGCCTCAGCCTCCTGAGAGGATGGGACTACAGGTGCTATGCACAAATAATACTGCATTTCTCTTCTTGTGAGGAAGAGTGGGCAACTATCCCCTGTCATCTGTATTTCCTTTTCTGTCTTTCATGTCCTCTGCCTACTTTCTATCGGGGCAGAGAAGGGAGATTTTGAGGCCACAGAAGGTGAGACTGTAATTCTCTATTCCAAGCTGATGGGAGCTCCCTGGGATAACTCAGGGGATGAGGGGTGATATCTAAGGGTGGCTGCATCATGATGAAAGGGAGAGGAAAGCTAACTTGCCAAAGCTTCTCTGTTGTTCACTGTGTCCACAGGTGCTGACCATGAGCTCACCCCGGGAGGGCTACCTTACTATAGCTAGTCTATGCTTGCTTTTTAAAAAGGACTCTTGCCTTCTGAGGCAGGTCAGCCACCATGCCTGGTCCAGGTTAGGGTTTCTTTGCCTTTGATTCTGACATAGCCCTCCTGTTTCTAAATTCTCCTAGGTCTAAAGTCCAACTGCTATTTTCCCATGAACAGCAGTGGACAAGTTTCCTGACTGACAGAGCACATGCTCAGCTCCTACCTCTTACCTGCATCTCCTCTGGGTCTGAGTGTGCCCAGAAGGGGGCCATGGTGCACTTGATCTTCCCCTCAGGGTCCATTTCAATGTCCCACCACGAGAGAACCACCTGAGCTCGGCCAGATGCCAGAGGTTCAAACTGCCTGCTATGGCAGGCTGCTGAGCTACTGACTTGCTTGCTGAAGTCCACACTGAGGAATAATATTCAAGAATGTAAGCAGAGCTTAACCTCACACACTCCATTTTTTAAGCATCTACAGTGACTTCACTGGCAATGACATTTGGCTGCAAAGGACTCTTGCCTTCTGAGGCAGGTGACAGCAGCTAGGTTTTCTTCCCACTCAAAAAGAACCTCCAAAGGCCCACCTTCCATCAAATGTCTCAAAGCACCATCACCTATGGGGGCGCCTTGTTACCTGAAAATGGGCAGCACATCACTGAGGACTGTGAATTCGGCTGGTGACACCTGGTTCAGCTGAATATCACAGACAGAGGGTGCTCCAGGGCACCTCTCCAGGTCCACGGGAGGGATGATGACCTGCTCTCCGAGGCTGGTCTGCACACGGATGGGAAACAGTTTGTTCCATGACCACATCCTCCTGGACTCCACCAGCTGTGCATAGATGGTGGCTCTGTGGGGAACAGCCTCACAGTTTTCCTAAGTTTATATTAAAAAACAAAACCAAACAAAACTCAGGTGCTTAGACCCACAGTAATTCCCAGTGATCAAAAGATGTTTATTTTTCAATATTAGGTTGGTTCAGTAATGCCCAACACCTTCTACTATTAGAAGAGTTAACTGTTTTCAGTCCTGTGCCCTTGGAAAAGGGAAAAAAAAAAAAGGTATGAGATTTCAAAAAGAATACACACTGTGCCTAACGACTTATGTCAGCTAAGTTCCTGGCTACCTGGCACTCTTAAATGCTTCAAGTCCTGCTGCTGGGCGGTGATCCTGGCTCTGGGCTCAGTATCCCTTCAGTGCCGCTCTTGCCTGGCACCAGAACAGTCTCCTTGTGGCAAAGCCCCATGGACCATGGTGCCCCCTCAACTGCCCAGCCCTCTGGCACCACTGGGCACAGCTGCGGCTCTGGTTCCTTGTCCAGCTTTCATCCTACCTCATGCATTTGCTACATGCCCTCCATGCGCCAAGAGCATACTCACAGCTGTGACCTACAGGGCTTTCGGCACCACTGGCCTCCTGGGCCAAATGATTATTTGTGGTGGGGGTTGCTCTAGGCATGGTAAAAGGTTAGTAGCATCCCTGGCCTCCCCGCAAAGTGTCTCCCAACCTTGCTCTGGTAGAGAAAGACTGCTCTAACTGGACTTGCTCCCACCTCCTTGAACAGGCTGTGCTTCCTCTGCCCCGCCTCACAAGGGGGTTCCCTGGTCTGGACCACCTTTCTTCTCCCTCCACATTCTCCAGAGTGACCTCAACCATGCCTTCTTCATTGACTAAACCCAAGCACCTCTGGGCCTCTTGGGCCTCTCTACTTGGCTGATCTTCAGAGAGCTCAAACTCCATGTCTAAACAAGATGAATCGCCCTCACTGCTCCCCAACCTTCCCAGGGATGCCCCTCCTCCTGTGCTCCCAGTCCATAGGAAGCACTGCCATCCAATCTGGGTGCCCAAACCCTGGCATCATCCTCAATACCTCTAAACCTAAGGGACCACCAACTCCTGGGACTACCTATCAGGCCCATGTCTAAAGCCTTGGCTGAGGTCCATTGCACCTCAGTGTCTGGACAACTCCACAACCTTTTAACCCACCCACAACCTCCAGTCCTACATCCCAAAGGTCCTCCACATGCCTGCCTGCATAAATCTGCCATCAATCCTCTGCTTCAAACCCTGCTGTGATGCCACCCCACCTAAATGACAGCTACCCACTGGGCATAGTCCCCAGGCCCCCCTCCATCTAGTCCCTGCCCAGCTCCTAGCCTTAGTGGCTAAGCCCACGTCTCCTGCCTCCCCCACAGCACAAAATCCAAAGCACCCAAAAGCTCCAGAGCCACTGTACCAATTCAGTTTCATGTCTAGCACATGCTGCTCTCCTCTACCAGAAATATTCCATCTGTCAGGCCAACACCTGATCACTTTTCAAGACTGACAGCTCAAGCATCACCTTCTTGAGAATATTTGCTGAACTGAACTGAATTTGAAAACAGTTTCTTGCTTTTCAATTCTAACCTATTAAGACTTGGCATTTAAGGGACACGAAAGTCACAAGTGAGGAGAACTAGAACCCCCCAGGAACAGAGGGGTGTGCCAGGTACATGACATGAGGGCTTGGTCTGTGTGTTGTATGGTGCATGCGTGAGTGCTGTGTGAGCTGGCTGAGAGCACAGACATGCCCGAGGGAGCCCTCTGTGTACTACCTCCACGAGATGCCTGTGTGCGTGCTCATAGGAGGGCAGCGCTCCCTCCCCGATCAGCTCTGTGTCAAATAACTCTGTGACCAGGATGTTGGCACGGCATGGCATGTCACCCTCTGAAAAACAAGAAAACAGAGTTAGACGTAAGCAACAGACTAGGAAAAATATTTACAGCAAATATGGGAAAGGTAAGTTGTTAAGAGGCCATCACACTAAAAGCACATACACATGCTGAGGTATTCAGAAGTGTCAGGATGTCTGTGACTGACTTGACAATGAAAAAAAAAATCCATATGTAAATGTATGCCAAAACACTAACTGCTAAATCTAGGGTAAGGGAATAAGAGTGTTTACTGAACCACTCTTCCAACTTTTCCATATGTTTAATATTGGGAGGGAGACCTGGAAAAAATGATAAGAAAACTATAAATACCCAATGGATTGCTTGAGCTAGGGAGTTCAAGATCAGCCTGGGCAATGTGACAAAACCCCATTTCTACAAAAAATACAAAAATCAGCTAGGCGTGGTAGCTCATGCCTATAATCCCAGCACTTTAGGAGGTCAAGGTGGGAGGATCACTTGAGGCCAGGAGTTCAAGACCAGCCTGGCCATCATGGCAAAACCCCATCTGTACCAAAAATACAAAAATTAGATAGGTATGGTGGTACACACCTGTAATCCCAGCTACCCAGGAGGCTGAGGAATGAGAAACACTTGAACCTGGGAGGCAGAGGTGCAGTGAGCCAAGATTACACCACTATATTCCAGCCTGGGTGACAGAGCGAGACTCTCGTCTCCCAAAAAAAAAATTAGCCAGGCATAGAGATTTGAACTTGTAGTCCCTGCTACTCGGGGAACTGAGGTGGGAGGATCACTTGTGCCTGGAAGATCAAGGCTGCAGTGAGCCAAGATCGTGCCACTGCACTCCAGTGTGGGCAACAGAGTGAGACTCTGTCTCAAAACAAAAACAAAAAACTATACACACCCAAAAAGAAATCAGGTAAAAATATAAACACACAATTCAAAACAGAAATCAAACATGGAAATCTTTTCATCTGTATTAGCAATTAGAGAGATATAAATTAACAATTAAACTATTAACCAATAAAGTAGAAAAATTATTTGAAAACCAAAAACTGAATGCTGGTACTTCAAATACTTCTAGGTTACAGGGAGAGGGAGGGAAAGCCAAAGCAAGAGAGCAAGGTTCTCGGGTGATCTTCCAGCTACCGTGAGCTCGGCTTGAGCAGCCAAAATTGAGATCCATGACTTAGAATCCCCGTATCACTATGGTAAATCCCCTTAATGAAGTTAGCTCCTTGTCACCAAATAATCTCTTAAATAACAGTTGTTTTAGGACAGTGGGATTTTAGAAGAAAGTAGGATTTGGGAGGCATCTTCTTTAACTGTTTTTTTAAGCCTCAGTAATGTAATGCTATGTCTACAATTATAATTTTTTAATGAGACAAGAGCCAAAATAGATTTTGGAAGGGGCTATTCATCATGGAGAATTAACTGTAAACACTTTTAATGCCTCATGAATTGAATCTGACAAAGCCCACTCATCTCCCCTGCACAGAGTACAAGTCTCAGATGATGCAAGAAAAAGAGAAGCATGAAAGCAGCTGATAGGGGTCAGGCACAGTGGCTAATGCCTGTAATCCCAGCACTTTGGGAGGCTGCGACAGGTGGATCACCTGAGGTCAGGAGTTCGAGACCAGCCTGGCCAACATGTTGAAACCCCATCTCTACTAAAAATACAAAAATTAGCCGGGCGTGGTGACAGGTGCCTGTACTCAGGAGGCAGAGGCAGGAGAATCACTTGGATCCAGGAGGTGGAGGTTGCAATAAGCCAAGATCTTGCCATTGCACTCCATTCTGGGTCACAGGACAAGACTCTGTCTCAAAAAAAAAAAAAAAAGAAAAAAAAAATGCATTTGACAAAAGGGTATAACAGAGACGGCATGAACCTCAAGGCCAGAGCCTGGCCTGGCTCTCACTTCCTATCCATGAGCCCTCAGTTCTGATCATCAGTTGCCTCATCAGTAAAACAGGTAAATAAGCTCTGTCTCACTTGGTGGTGGCTGGAATGATGGAAAAAAAAAAAAAAACACACCTCCTATGAACCTCACCCGTGTTCCACAAGAGCATCACGTGGAGGAGCTTAAGAAGAAATTCCTGGTTCCAAGGCCTCTGTGTGCTCGCAGAGTAGCCATCATGAGCAAAGCTCACCCTCCCGAGTTGAAAAAATTTATGGACAAGAAGTTATCATTGAAATTAAATGGTGGCAGACATGTCCAAGGAATATTGCAGGGATTTGATCCCTTTATGAATCTTGTGATAGATGAATGTGTGGAGATGGCGACTAGCGGACAACAGAACAATATTGGAATGGTGGTAATATGAGGAAATAGTATCATCATGTTAGAAGCCTTGGAACAAGTATAAATAATGGCTGTTCAGCGGAGAAACCCATGTCCTCTCTCCATAGGACCTGTTTTACTATGATGTAAAAATGAGGTCATGTACATTTTCATATTAGACTTTTGTTAAATAAACTTTTGTGACAGTCAAAAAAAGAAAAAAGAAGAAACTCCTGTCTTCTGCCACAGAGACCACCCTCCCGAGTGGCCCTGCCCATCCAACCTCTTTGATGTCATGTCAAACTCCAACTGGAACACACTGTCTGAGACCCATCCCACCCACCCCACCCCACACCCCTGCTCTTCCATCCAGGGTTTCTGCCTCAATGCATGAGTCACACAGTCACATAGTCCAGGAACCTGGGCATCATTTACTATCTCCAGACAACAGGGCCGAGACTGCCTGTCCACTACTGTACCCCAGTGCCCCAACAAGGTGCCCCTTAACAGTCAACACACACTAGATAAATTCTTGATTTCTGTCATCCTACAAGCCACCGATCACCTACTCTACCAATTCTATCTCCTAAATAATGTTTAAACCAATTATATAACTTAAAATGATTTTCAGTCCAAATTGCTTCATTAAAATAAAAATCAAGAGACAGTGACTCATGCCTATAATTCCAGCACTTTGAGAGGCCAAGGTGGGCAGATCACTTGAGGCCAGGAGTTCCATACTAGCCTTGCCAACGTGGCAAAACCCCATCTCTACTAAAATAAAAACATTGGTCGGGTGCAGTGGCACACGCCTGTAGTCCCAGCTACTCAGGAGGCCAAGGCATGAGAATCACTTGAACCCAGGAGGGAGAGGTTGTAGTGAACCGAGACTGCCCACCACACTCCATCTTGAGTGATACAGGGAGACTCTGTCTCAAAAAATAATGAAAATAAAATAAACACAAATCAAGCTTTATGGTCCAGTGCATTTTAACAAGTACTTGAGGGCCTGGTATTTTGAGTGTGAGTGATAATGTATAAGGGCCTGGGTGGGACAGCCTGAAATCGGTATCCACCCCAGGTGCTTCCTAAGTCCTTGCCATGGACTTAGAACATGGATGATGAACACACACTGCTCCCTAGCTTGACTCTCCACAAGCCTCAACATGTAATCCAGCTCTGGGGAACAGGCAACCAACTTCAGATGCCACTTTTAAAAAGTGCTGAGAACGAAACCTTGGAAAGCACACAATTGGATCAGAAAGAAAGCAACACAGGGGAACCAAGATTAAGAGATGTCACTGAAGTCCAGGGAGAGAGTTTTGAGGAGGGAGGAATGGCAGAAGTACCAAAGCCACAGGGGTTAGAGAGGAAAGATCACCTAACTTGGCCATGAGGAAGCCACTTGTCAGGCTGCAGGATCGGAAACAAAGTCACATTTACAAGGGATCATGGATGAAGCAAGACCTGACAATCTAGTCACTTAACAAAAATTATTGAACTCCTTTACATAGCAGGCCCTGAGCAAATAACGGAATGGAACAGTTAATACAACCCACACAATGCATGACCTCAGGATGCCTCAGCTGGGTGGCTATACAGATATTAAAAAATAACTACATAATGATTTAATGATTGCAGTAATAAGGTCTCTGAAGCAAAAGTATTAAGCAATCAGCCATGGTCGGGCATGGTGGCTGATGCCTGTAATTCCAGCTTTTTGGGAGGCCGAGGCAGGTGGATCACCTGAGGTTGGGAGTTCAAGACCAGCCTGACCAACATGGAGAAACTCTGTCTCTACTAAAAATACAAAAAATTAGCCGGGTGTGGTAGCATGCCTGTAATCCCAGCTACTCTGGAGATTGAGGCAGGAGAAACGCTTGAACCCAGGAGGCAGAGGTTGCAGTGAGCTGAGACTGCACCATCGTACTCCAGCCTGGGCAACAAGAGTGAAATTCTGTCTCAAAAAACAGCAAAAAAAAAAGTAATTGGCCAGACATGGTGGTTCACGTCTATAAGGCCAGCACTTTGGGAGGCTGAGGCAGGTGGATCACTTGAGATCAGGAGTTCGAACCAGCCTGGCCAACATGAAATACAAAAATTAGCCAGGTGGTGGTGCATGCCTGTAACACCAGCTGAAGGATCACTTGAATCCAGGAGGTGCAGGTTGCAGTGAGCAACCTTCCACTGCACCCCAGCCCAGGTGACAGAGCCACTCCATCTCAAAAAAAAAATCATATGAGAGGCTTGGCCTAGCCTGAGGTGCATGTGAACAATGCTGCCTGGAGGCAGAGTCACAGCACTGCACAGCCAAGGCTGCCCCGCAGGTCAGTCTCCCTCCCATTGAAATGAATTGATTTTTAAGAATAAATTATCTCACCCTGTGCTGTGACTCCCATCTGTAATCCCATCACTTTCAGAGGCTGAGGCAGGAGGATCACTTGAGGCCAGGAGTTCAAGACCAGGCTGGGCAACAAAGCAAAACTTAGTTTCTAATAAAAAATTTTAGCTTTTTGCGGCCATCACCTAAGCGGGAGCTGCCGAAATGAAGTTCAATCCCTTTGTGACTGCCGACCGAAGCAAGAATCGCAAAAGGCATTTCAATGCACCTTCCCCCATTCGCAGGAAGATTATGTCCTCCCCTCTTTCCAAAGAGTTGAGACAGAAGTACAACGTGCGATCCATGCCCATCCGAAAGGATGATGAAGTTCAGGTTGTACGAGGACACTATAAAGGTCAGCAGATTGGCAAA